CCAGTTTGCAAGTTGGAATGAAAGAGAGTAGGGACAATCTAGAAATTCAGAGATTTATAGGGTTAGAAGAAGCTATTGTTTCTTCTACCAGTAAAATATAAAATTTAGAAATGTTTTCAGTGTGAAAAGACCAGTTAAAATAGGCCTTGAAGTATGGATCGAGTCAAGGGTATGGCCTCAAACCTACTGTAAATCCTTGGGATAAATTAAGGTGTTACCCAATATATGGTTCCAATTGGACAAAATGGCTCTGGAAAAGGGAAAGTGTGACTCTTACACCAAAGCCCAATAAGCCCAAAGCACATGAAACCAAGTTGGGGGGCAGAAGAAAGAGAGGGAGAGGGAGGGAGAGAGGGAGGAAGGAAGGGGGAGAGAGTGGAGGGGGGAGGGGTGCCAGCAGGCAGGAGAGCAAGAAAGCAATGAAATGTGGCAGACCATAGAACTATATCTAGAAAAAAATTGGCTCTGGCTATTGGTACATGGAATGGCTAGAATCAAACTGATAAGAAGCCTACATTTATGTGAGAGTTGTACTGCCAAAAGAACATCAGCCTGAATTAAAGGAGTGTATTTGAGACTTAATATCACTCTATACTCTTGCCCCATGCAATTTTCGAAAGCGTATTTAAAAACATCTTTTCCTATGCCTGCTTTAGATATAGAAGAGGAAGGTTCTCTCAGGGGGCAAAGCCAGGAGTCATAGAAAACGATGGATAGGTCAGTGACACTCAGGGAACAGAACCAGGGCCTAATCAGGTGCTGGACAGGGGTTCTTCAACACATCTGCTCAGTGGACTTGTGGCCACTGTGATCTCCCACTCCTTCACTTTCCAAACGGTATATCCATTGTTGTTATTCCAACTCTGTTCCACCATTATATATTGAGGGTGTGCAGGGTAGACATCTTGCCTTTAGATGATAAGTCACATCTGGAGCTGATAGAAAGTCTACTATGCCTTACCCAGAACCTGAAAAGTGAGCTTGATATACTATGACTAGATGGGTCTTCAGAGTTGTCCCCCTTGAGGAAAGAATGAGAGAATTCTGCCTGTGGGAGGACAGTAAGCCAAACATTTGGTGAACAGAAAGGGAGACTATTAGAGTCATTGATGTTATTCTGCAAATCTTCCTGGCTCTCTGTGTTCAAGAGACTCAGAAGAATTACAGAGATTTAAAGTTAGGCATGGGCATGTGACGTGTTTGGCCAATGATATACGAGCAGTGTGTCACTTCCAGGTGGATGCTCTGAGAGCCAGTGAATGATTTCCCACCTTCTCTCCCCTCAGCCAAGGTAATAATAAGGTAGTAATAAGAAGCATGCATCAAGCAGAAGCCTTTTCCAACCGGAGTCCTCGAGTGACCACAGTGAACAGAACTCCCCTGCAGACCCATAGTAGGCACATAGCACTGACAAAAAATAACCTTCTGTGGGGTAAGCCACTGAGATGTTAGGATTCTTAGGGCAGCATAGCCCGGCCTTTCCTGACTGATACTGGGAGTGAGAGAGATGAGGCCTGAGAGCCAGAGCTAGACTGTGAAAGGCTCCTTTTCTCAGGCAAAGGTGTCTGAACTCTCTCCTGGTCTTAAGGAGAAGCCAATGAAGGCTTCCAAGCAGGGGCGTTAACATAAACAGATCTGTTATTTTTTGGATGAAATATGCTGTTTCTCAACATAAGGAGAAAATCAGCCTACTAAACCACATAAGGCAGAGAGGAACACACAGAACCCTTAGGCAAAAAATATATATTTATACAGAGACCTAAATCTTGAATTTTCTAAATACAGGAGCTAGCTCTGAAAGGAGGATCAGGCAAGACAATTTCTTCTGTCCCACCATCTAAGCACAATTTCCTCTGCAGACAACTAATGTTTCAAGAAAGTCTCCCAGAGCAGAGAAGATACAAAGGAATATAACACAGACCTAAAGTCAATTTCCAGCTGCCTGTGTAACCTGGGCAAGATACTTAACCTCTCTGGGCTTAGTTTCCTGTTAATAATACACATAGCTCTAGATAGTTGTGGGGAGAAACAGCATATTTAAATTGCTCAGGAGAATGCCTGGCTGATAGTAGGCATTTGATACATGAAATTTATTTTTATTACTCTCATCATAAAAATTAAGAACACCAGCTTCCTGATTACAAAAGAAATGATTCGGAGCAATAATATAGAGGAGAATGTTCTCTTTCTGAGAAAAGTAACCGAATCTTGTTATCACTGTATCCTTACCCAACCCCTACCCCCACCCCAGTTCAGTGCCTGGCTCACAGTAGTGGCTTGGTTTTCCTCTGCTGCATGAGGGAATGAGAGGTGAGTGCCTGGAGTAAAGGAAAAGTTGTCAAGATTTCCCTGCCACTAGTTGATGTTGGTCTGTAGAATCTGAACTCTCAGTCACAAAGATCTTGAAGCTCTGGCCTCTGAACTCAAAGCTGAATATCTCCAAGTTCTGAAGCTGAAAAGCTGGAATTAGAACCTAGGAACATGAAATGCTGCAGATCCAACTTCAAGCCCCAGTCATGCAGAAGGC